GCTCTTTAAAGAGCGCTTTGAAAGCAAGCCGATTCAAGTTAGGTTTAGTGTTAGGTTAAGGGTTAGGTTTAGGGTTAGGTTTCGGGGGGTTAGGTTTAGGTTTAGATGTTAATTTTAGCTTTAGCGCTCACCGTGCTTTTTTCGTCGCGCTGTGATGACGTCAGGTACGTGGTTTCGTCGAGCGCGCTTTAGTAGAACACAGTTTTGTGGTGGAACCAACAATCTGAACTTATATGAAGGGGTCAATGAGCTGAAGAGTTTAGCCTACCTTCTGAGGCAAGAATGGTTCTACTCTATGGCCTTTCAAAGATTAGTTTAAAACCTGGCTTTTCTGGAAGATTTTTTGTGATTATGGGTTCAAGATACTTAGTGTAGCACCTATACCTGTGGCCACCTCCCTTTTTTGTCAAATCAAACTTCTGCCATATCTATTTTTTTTAAAGGAGTATGAGAATCCAATTAGCTTTCTTTGGAACTATGCCAATCTTCTAACAAATATACATTGCGTATATAGGGAAGATTCAGAAACTTGGCAACTGATACTAAGGCAATCATTTAGTCAATGGGAAAGCTAACACAATATAATGCCCACAAAACATTATCAAAATTACAACTGTCTGTCTAACCCCAAATGTTGGCGATCTCTGACCCAGAGGCTGCTCCTTGCCTTCTAGTTTAATTTGCACTTTAAAAATCCATTATTTTTTTTATTTTTTTCTAGTGAGAAATGTTTTCAGAGAGAACAAAGCTTCAAGCCACTGAGGGGCACAGCCCAGGCTATCCTACAGTAATTATTTATATAGATAGCTACAAGATAAAGCTTCTTCCCCACTGTAACTTTTTCTTCTCAGATCAGAGACTAGAGACCACGCTGTACAAGATAAAACAACTGAATGCAAGGGTATGTAACTACAGGCAATTTGTGATTATCTGTGGGAAGGCATTCTTTTATTTCAGCCTGCTGTAGGTGAAGTTATAGCCCTGTTTTTAAACAACTGTGTTTTATCTAGTGTTGTTTTATTCATTAAATATAAATTTAACAAATATTTTACCTCTGGCAGCAAACCAACCAGAAACTTCCAAGAGATTCAAAAAAAGGATGAAAGCCTTTGCAGAAAAGATGCCGACTTTTATGTATACTTTTCAAATCAGTACCCCATTTCCAAACATTTTTTCCCCCTCATCTTCAGCCTTTCCTTTTCAACAAGGAAACACCTAACCCAAAATTCATGGGGAAGGGGGGTCACACATTGCATTTATGTTTTAACAAGGTAAAGTCTGCCATCTTATATCCCAGTGAGCAGATTTGCGCACTGTACAAAACCAGTGTTTTCCAAATTTGGCAACTTTTAAAATGCATGGACTTCAAGTCCCAGAATTCCCCCGCCAGTATTCTGGCCAGGGAATTCTGGGAACTGAAGTCCAGACATCTTAAAAAGCTGCCAGGCTTGGAAAATACAGCCGTGTCGTATATTAAGATGGGAAACAGGCAAGCATCATGTGCAAACAGGGTGAACCCAAGCCACTGCAGTGTATATCTGCAATGTGCTCTACATGGGGCTGCCCTTGAAGAGCATCCGGCGACTTCAGCTAGTCCAAAATGCAGCCGCGCGAGTGATTGTGGGCGCACC